TTTGAAGACAGGGAAGCCAGAAGAAAAGCAGGGAGACCAGATGAGAGGCCCTGTGGTCATCAGGGTAAGAGATGGTAGTTGGTAGCAGTGAAGGTGGTAAGAAGTGGGTATATGCAGTCGATTTTAAGGTGCACTCAGCAGTCTACCTGATATCTACAGTATGTGTGAGAAGAGGAAGGAAGGAGGGTTCTTGGGTTTGGGGATTGGGTGACTGGCTAGCATTTACTAAGATGGAAGTGAGTGAATGGGAGAGGGACAGGTGTGAGGGCAGTCAAGAGTTCTACTTTGACCCATCCCTGAAAAAAAAAAATCTGACCTGCTAAACACCTAAGATGTCAAGTAGGCAGCTGAGTATTGGGTTTGGAGCTCAGGAGAGAGGTTCATCCTGGAGGTAACACAGAGAGTGTTAAAAGCCTCAGAGTGAGCTGGTGCACTGTGTAGCTAAGGAGAGCCAGAGCCCAAGCCCTGGGACATGACAACATTTAGGACTTAAGCAGAGAAACCGACAGAGGTGCTGAGGTAGGAGGAAACCAGGAGGGCGTGGTGCCCAGTGAAGAAAGTGTTTCAAGAGTGAAACAAGGTGTGACCAAGTGTCAAACGCCGAGAGGCCAAGCAAGGCGTCATCTAAGTTAGCTCAAGGTAGATCGTTCTCTCAGCTCTATTTCCTCAGAGTGTTTGCTTTATTTGCGCCGCTCGTTGCAATTTCCAAGTATATTGCATAGGTACTTCTGTCTTCTCTTCTCATAGAGGTTCCTTAAGTTCAGAGCTGTGTCTTGTTCTTCCCAGAATATCCACTACCCTATTCGCTCAAAACATGTTTGAATAATCCAATGAATCACATGGAATTCTAGAAAATCTAGAAGAATATGCCCAACACAGTATTAGCAGTTAAAGTCGATTTTATTGAGCTGTTCTCAATGTTCCCCTTTAATAACGTGTGGGTTTTGTTCTGCCTAGAATGAGATGTTTACCATACATCTGAGACTTTTGCTAATCACAACCCACCTGGAAATTTTTTTTTTTTTTTTCTCCAAGGGTCTTCTGTACTACCAGTCCCCAAATTACTTAGCTTTTACCCAGTTTTCTCCCTCACCTTTTAAAAGTTGGCTTCAGGGCCTGGTGGTCCTTTCTGGCACCATCAATAACTTTCTCTGTCACAATTCATTGAATACCAGTGTCATTACAATGTATCAGAGACATCAGGGTAAGCGGACACTCATGTTACACAATAACAACTTTCACAACAGTGATTAAAGCAGCTATAGAAATACAGGTGCTGGGAATGACCAAACTCTTCAGGAGATATGGTTGGGTGGGACGGCATACCCACAAAAGGGCTGAGAGGGATATTTTTACCCAGGCTCACACATAATTGTGGGGACCTATTTCAGCATACAGGCCAATGGGTTACTGTCTTTGTAAAAGTAACAAGAATATCAAAACTCAACTTACAGACGTAAGCTCATGGTAACATACTTGGAAAAGATGCACTAGACAACACAAAGACAAGGTCATCACCTCCCAAATAATCATAGTATCCAGCTGGAGCTCAGAAACGCTACTCTATCTGCCAGGGCCACAGAAAATCACCCATCTGTGCAGTCAGTCCCGCTCTGCTTGACCTCAGCCGCATTCCATGTGGGGCTCTTGATTCTTTTCATAGAATACCACATTTCAACCCTGTGGCTCTCTTGGCTAGCTTGATGGTGACTCCCTGAGAGTGAATATTCACTTTTAATTCTATCTACTCTCCTACCTAAGGATTGAAAAGGGGTTTTCTCCAATCCATTGACAACTTGCCTTTGGGTTTTTTTTTTGAGTTGGAGTCTCACTCTGTCGCCCAGACTGGAGTGCAGTGGCCGCTCCCGGCCACCGCAGCCTCGACCTGCTGGGCTCCGGCGATCCGTCCGCCTCAGCCTTCCGAGTAGCCGGAATTACAGCCACGCGCTACCACGCCCGGCTGATTTTTTGATTTATTGTAGAGATGAGGTCTCGCTGCCCAGGCGGGTCTCGAACCCGCGGGCTCAGACAATCCACTCATCTCAGCTTCCCAAAGGCGTGGGATTACAGGCTGAGCCACCGAGCCCAGCTTTGCCTTCGTTTTTATATGTGGATGGATGTTTCATTAAGTGTACCTGTAGTTAGTTTCCAGTCCTTCTACTAAATCTTATTCTGGATGTGGTTTGTTAGAAGACAGCATTGCTGAGCAGCAGGACTATGCACCCAAGACTTGTAATATGAAAATCTAAACGACCACACCCCCTGCACATAGCACACACCTTGGCATGTACAGCTACACTTAGTGAATGACTTCCAAGAGTGTCACTGACAAAATGGGACACATGAGGAGGAAGGAATGGCCAGACTAGAGCTATTTTGTTTGGAGATGAGTCAGAAGCTTGAGAGCTTTTCAAACAGCCAAAGAGTTGTCAGAAAGGGGCGAATAAGATATATGCTATAAACGCTAGGTCATTAGGATCTAGTGACTTGGTGAAGGTAGTATTTCCCAAGCTAAAGTGCAATAGGATGTTGTGATACCAGGGAAAAAAAAAATCTATCAGGAAAGTTTGGGAAATGCTGGATGAAAGAGTTCTCATTTTCAGAAGTAAAGTCTTAGAGGCAAAGCAAGACACAAACCACTCATTTATGAAAAGGTCAGAATTAATAAATACCTCCAGATGCTTGGTGAGAACTGCTCCAGCTTTAGGCGCTGCTTAAATTAGACTGATGTTGAAACAGAAGAGATGAGCTGCGGTCTACACTGCAACTAAAATGAATGTGGACTGACGCACAGATCTGGTCCACAGTGGTTCCTACTGAAAGTAGCCAATTTGAGTAAGCAAGTCTTCATTGTTAATGCCAGTCTGTACCAACTGCACTTTGTACACTGATCTCTAAATGACAAGGTTCTTCCTATTTTTATAGCTAGTATTTTTTTTTTTTACCAGAAATATACAACACTCATTTTAAAGTGTCATTAAGCAATCCTTAATTTTTTAAGTAACACATTTGCTAAGCATCAACTTAAGTGCTAGGCACTCCACTAAGTATCAACAAAAAGGCCTGGTTGTGCTTTATCCTTGAACTGTGGAGATGGGGAAGATACAGAGGGCAGGCCAAATGGATCACTTTCAGAGGAATCAATTTGATATGTCAAAGTATACCGACACTCTGAATCTTCAAATTTGTCCTTATCTCACTGCTTATCATTCTAACACATCAATGCAGTTAACAAAAATGCTTAAGTATTTAAAAACCTAAATACTAGTGAACTATCGAAAAAAAGGAGTCTCTCACTCTATGGTTACTATATTGAGCCCACTCTATTCCATAATAGTGCTACATTTGCTAAGAAGTGTGGAGAATCCAGTTTATAATTTATGTTAGAGAGAATTTACAAGATCCTTCTGTCAAAAGAAGCAACATAGTAAATCAATTTCTGTAACTACAAAATGTCTTAAATGATGTGAAAAGAGGCATGCCTCTCTTCTCTCCTCCCTACCACCCCTGTAACTCTTAATACTTCCAGACCAGGAGATAAATATATTTAGAGAAACATTTAAGAGAATGACAGAACTCAAAAGAGACAAGTAGGTACTCTGCCTGATTCCAACCAGTAACTGATGATGACTGGGGTCCAAACATTCCTAAATATGGTCACATTTGATATCCCTATCACGCTCCAAGATTCTACACTTACATTTCAACCATGTTGGCACTTATAACAGGAAACCCAACTTACCTCAGACCTAAATATCAATAGTATGATAAATAAAAAGTGAGACTGTTGTTCTCTGGTGCGACCCACATAAACCAAATTTCTGAAAACTGAAAGGAAGTAAAGGTTACCTCAAATAGTCTACAAGAAAATCATCGTACTTATCAATTCAACTCTATCCATAGTCAGTACTTAAGTGCTCCAACCGAGAATCAATGTTATGAAGGACAAGCAATGACTGGACTTCATTTGTCTGAAGTTTTTTTCTTCCTAGTTAACAATGCCAATAATTAAAAACATCTATTTTCCAAGGGGATCACTATTTACCAAGGATGAGTCAAGTGAGTATACTGAGATTTGTGGCCTCTCCAATTTTCTTTCATATAGACTCTCTTTTATCCTCATCCTTTTTATTTCTCCGAGAAACTTTTAGGACAGGTTTAAGATGCAGGAAATGTGAATGATTTCACCAACAGGTAACTTGTTTTATATAAATAACATTCCCAACTTTTGAAATAAAGACAGACACAACATTTATTAAAATTTTTAATAAACCATAAAATTTAAATATTCAAATAAAAAGAAACAAAAATAGATATTTAAGTCAGCACTAATTTCTGGTTTTATTCTTCCTTCGGGGCTTGACTTACCTGGGATTAGAGTAATAAAGTTATGATGCTGGTGCAATAACGAACAAGGAACAATGGGCAATGGTTTGATAAGATGGACTTTAAAATCTGGAAGGAAAGATCCGGAGCTCACTGGAGTCCACCACAATGACCGGACACTGGTCTCATGTGTGGAGGACCACCCTGCCTTACGTTCTCACCAGGCTAAGCACTCCCTGGCATTCTGATCCTTTTGCTCACGGAAGCTCATTTTAGTCTGTCAAAACATCCAGGGGAAAATCCCCAAACCAAACAGACGATTAAACACTCTTAATGTGAATAATCATATTCAGACCAACGTCTTTTTGCAAAAATACAAGTCAGTGGATTTTTTAATCCTTACATAACTCAAATATTGTAATTTTTTCCTGCCTTTGCTAAAATGGCACTTTTCATTTTATTTATAGTGGCCAATGGTTTTCTACTTCCATTGTTCTGTGATTGGTACTTTATGGTATTCTTTATGACTGAGCCTTGTAATTTTCTTCCCAGAATATTTGATCTTTGACCAATTTTATCGCATTCTGTGAATGAATTTGCTATTGATCAGTGAAAATCACAAAAGGAAAAAGGAAGCAATGAGTACTTGTAGGATCTCACTTCAGCGTCATTCATATAATTTTTATAAGAAAAACATTCATTTTTATTATGGAATCTAAAACCATTACTGCATGATTCTATATGTTTTTTAGCATACTCAAGTGGGTCAACATTCATTATGGACAGCAAGATAGCTCACAAGAAACCAACTGTAATGCACAAATATGTGTGACTGGCAAAATCCCAGCAGCTCGGTAATAAAGTGCAGCAAACCTTCCTTATATTGAATAAGAACTCCAGTGACTTCTGGATATTTTTGGTAAAATTAAGGAAAAGCTACTGCAGCCAAGAGACAGGTAATCTTTAGACTTCAAAGACTGGCTGCCAGGGGACCACAGTGAAAAATTAGACCTGGAGCCGATGAAAAACACTAGCTTGGAAGGAATGGGTTTTTCCCAAAATGCAAAATTATCTTATACAGATGCTTAGCATATGATGATTTGACAGGTTTACAGTGAGAAAACAACAAGGAAAAACAGCTACATTATTGATACCTTTAGTGTGTGAAGAACAGATTTTAAAATAGGCAGCAAGAACTTCCGTGACAGCTCCTGAGACAAGTCATCCTGTGCCCTGTACCTACCCCATGCCGGCAACGACAGGTCAAAATGGTAACACGCAGAGTATAAACACATCTACTATATATGCATCAGAAAGTCCTTGAAAAGTGACAAAATTGTATGTTGTTAAATGACAAAACATATTTAGAGGCTTTATTTAAAAATCTCTTACTGTTCATTATCAAAGTTACAAGATTGTTTGCATACCAATAGACAGACTGTAAACATAGGAAATTTTCATTAAGGAAAGATGGGTTTACTGTAATTTGATCTTTTACAAAAAATTACTGCAAGTTATTGATAACAGAATTTCTCTTTTACTTTCTTAAGTCTAATTCTCTTGAAAATTAAACCAATGTTTCCACTCTCTCGAGCTAAAGTTCAACCATGGTCACCTTAGGAAATACCCCTGTTTGTTTGTTAATCAGAAATACGTATCAAGTGGCACATCTTTCCATTTTCTTCTCAGGCCAAGGGTTTCAGCTTCATTATATCTTACATGGAAACAGGAGACTTGCAGTGGTCCTGTGAAGCCTTTCACGTCCTGGCTGAGGCTGGATGACGGCAGTGGAGGAAAGCAGCCTGATGCAAAGGAAGACCTGCCCGTGGCCTTATCTGACATGGCATCTCGTTCCTGTCTGGCTTGCAGCAGCCAAGGGTTTCTGGTCAGGTTGCCTCCACCAAACTCGACTGAAGCAGAAGGGTGACATGCTCTGGTAAATCCCACTTCAGGGTGATTCTGGACAGGCCAATGGCAGCTCCTTCAATCTGTCGGCTGGGGGATGATGCTAATATGGAGAAAATTATCCGGGTAGCTTAGATGCTCACTCAGCCACTGCAGAGGCGTTTCCAACATTGGCTCGATTCCATGAATCATCACTTGATTCTTTTTTTCTCCATCTATTCCAAGAAAGAAATCCAACAATAATCAACAATAGGCCAAACAGTTAAAGAAAAAACAATTTGTTACCTTTTGAGAATCCTTAGGGAATTAAATGGATTTTAAACCTGTCTGTCCCCTGAACAGGAAACGTGGACATGGAGAAAGTTCAAATGTTGCAATATGTATTACCCAAAACAGAAACCTGAGGCTTAAAATGAATTCTGATAAAAATTCTCTAGCTATATGTGAAAGTATTCATTCTTCTTTCTTAATTACTGTGCTTACCTAAGTTTGACGTTAATGAAACTATAGTGGCAAAAACAGCCAGCTGTACCCAATGACCAAAATTTATTTTAGTTATACATTAAAATTTTAACTACATGGTTATTAAAAATGACAAGTATATGAAGTAGGTCCATACATATTTTAAGAACATAAATTAGAAATGTGATTAGAAATCATAAACAATCAGATTAGTATCTGAGAGGATGTTTAATAAAATAGATGGAAGCATTGGTTGAAGTTCAGTAAAGTGCTGAGCTAGGTATCAAGAGTTTTTAAGATAGTAAGTTCTGAAACCTGACTGATCTGATAACATCCTTTTGCTAATCAAAAGGGTGCTGCAATTTACCCTTGTCTTTTAAATGTTTATTCCAAATTAAAGATTAATTTTGTGTTTTTCATAATTTTGGTGTGATATACTGACAACTTTTAAAGTAAATGCTGGGCTATAACAGAAAAACAAAACCAAACTTCTCTAATGAAAAAGAAAAAAAAAGGAACCATCAAGAAACTTTGCATCCCTCCTTTAGCACAATTCCCGATCTGTCTCCTGTATGGTGTCTTTGTGATCTAACAGCTAAACCTCTCAGCTTCCAAGAAAGACGACAGCAAGGAAACAGGGAATGCACAGAACTCTAAGAAGGGGAAAGGCCCTACTTTTTCTTTCTGTCTTCAGAATGACTTTCGGGTCCCCAGTGCTCTACTGTCTGGGAAAAATGGGTTGATGATGTATGGTGACAATGACTTTTCAGGCTGGGACCTGAAACAAGAGACTCTTTTAAAGGAATAATTGGACTTCCTGTTAGAGGCAGCGGAGTCCTAGGAGGTGAGAGTCAACAGAAGACACAAAAATATTACAGAGTTGAAAAAGAATACCAAGAATAAAAACCTAACAAACATACTACCAGTGCTTGAGATAATCAGTTAAAACATCCCAAACAAACCCTCAAATCACGATGTCACATTCCAAAACAATTTTGGAAAAAAGATATCACTTCATAATACTACTAACTTACAACATGCGTTACTTGTTTTCACTTTTTGTCAATCTTTACTGCATCTGTACATAATTTTTAACATAGTAGTGATCACAGTGTTAATACAATAATGGGTGCTTATAATAATGGTGCAAGCCGGGCTCGGTGGCTCAGCCTGTAATCCCGCGCCTTTGGGAGGCTGAGGTGAGTGGATTGCCTGAGCCCGTGGGTTCCAGACCCGCCTGGGCAGCGAGACCTCATATCTACAATAAATCAAATAATCAGCCGGGCGTGGTAGCGCCTGCCTGTAATTCCGGCTACTTGGAAGGCTGAGGCGGAAGGATCGCCGGAGCCAAGAAGGTCGAGGCTGCGGTGGCCAGGAGCGGCCACTGCACTCCGGTCTGGGCGACAGAGTGAGACTCCAACTCAAAAAAAAAAAATAATAATAATAATAATGGTGCAAATCACCTATAAATAAAAGATTACGCTATATGCAGAATCCTGTAGAAAGCATGATATTCGTACTTTGGGAAGCTGTTTTAAATGTTGGTATTCAAATGGTTAAACCCTCAACTATCTGAAATGATTCATCCCCCGTAAGTTCTAGGTTGTCCAGGTTTTACTGTATTAAATCTTTCTCAGAATATCTGAAAACATTTCCGGTGTAATTCTCTTCATATTCTTATTATATATTTCTTTGAAATATTTTTAATATTCACAGAATCTTCCTCCTACTTAGCACTGAGTCAAAAAATGAAAGAGTAGTGGTGTTAAGAGTAAAAGTTCCTTATCTCTAAGGCTTCCCTTAAGCCAGAGTCACCTTTGGATACTATGAAACAGCATGAGAAACAAATCGCAAAACATCCAAAATGCCATGCCTCAAACAGCATTTAACCCCGGGAGCAAATGCAGTAACGGCATGCAATCTACTGATGATCTTTGGTGTGTTTGAGGGGAAAAAGAACAACCCTGACACAAGAGAGAGTGGAGTGTGTTGAGTTCCACAAAAGTTGAGATCATAAAGCACTATTCAAACACTGTGTAACAAGTTCAATAAATCCCCTTATTGGAACCCACGTAGGTAGCCTGAATTCTCTACTTAAAAGCTGGGGACACTTTTAATCTATAACATAGAAGTGTCACTAATTAAATTTAGGTAACTAAGGAAAAGAATCTAGGACTGTCATATCTTCCAACAGAACAGTTTAAGTTTTAAAAGCTTTATTTTATCACTGCCTACACTGTCCAAATATTTTACCTGCATTTATTTGTTTGTTTTCTGACACCCCTCCCACTCCACAACACAATCGTAGTCAGAGGGATTCTTAGAATGGCACAGCAGTTCCTTGGAATTATTAAAGTTTCTCTCGTATTCATTACTATGTACTCCAGTTCAGTACCTGATACATATATAATTAGTCAATAATCTTTTCAAAGCTTAGATAATTCTGTTGCTGGAAGAACTGTACTGACAAAATCAATGTTTTGAGAATACTTTCTGAGAGCTAGCTATGCCTATAAATACTGCTTTGGTTATTAAGACACCAAAAGTCAAACACATTTCCAGATAAGCCAAGTATATATGCTATCACCTTAATTCATGCTACCATAAACACCAACAAAACATGAAGGGACATTTTGGCAATATCAAGATGTAACCAAAAAAAAAAAAAGTAAAAAATTAGTGTTTCTTTTTTCTAACAGTAGAAGTACTCGATGATATTGCTACAGTACACCATGTTTTTGGTAAATATATCTTGGTGTTTCAAAATGGGAATCTACAACTTAATATCTAGAATGAGAAATATGTCATTACAAAGCAAATGACTCAGGAGAAAAATGTTACTGTGCATCTCGCCCACTCAGGTTTTTTAAAGAATTAGTTTGAAGCTTTAAATTAGGCAAACATTCAAGACAGTGATCAGATAAACTAGTTCTATATGAACTGTTCTTATACAGGACACTTTTGGGGATAACTTTTATTCTGAAAAAATTTCAAATTTATACTGTGTAGTTTCTAATATATTATTTCACATAATTACAACAGAGTTATCAAAATAAAAATATAAATGTTGATATAATAATATAATGCAGTTCAAATTCAAATCCATCAACTATCCCAATAATATATTTTTCTCCAATCTAGGATCCAGTCCTGGACTAGCTTAGTCTGTCTGTGTGGCTGTAACAGAATATCTGAGACTGGGTAATTTATAAAAAACAAACAAACAACTGTTTCTCACAGTTCTGGCCACTGGGAAGTCCAAGATCAAAGTGCTGGTACCTGGTGTGGGCCTTCCTGCTGCCTTCTCATACGTGGAACATGTTAGGTCAAGGGCAGACAGACCAACTTCCGCCAGCCTTCTCATGCCAGCATTAATCCATTCATGAGGGTGAAGCCCTCACGGCCTAGACATCTTCCAGAAGGCCTTACATCCCCAACACTGTTGCACTGGGGAGTAATAATGCTTCCAACATATGAATTCAGATAATAGCCAGAATTCATACACTGCATTTCATTTCTGTGTCTCTCTATTCTCTTTTTTTAGCCTGTTTGTGCATCTCTTAGCTTCGGCAATTTTGAAGAGTACATCTCATTTTTTTGTAGACTGTCCCCACAGCACTTTCTAAAACCAGCATCTACTTTCAAGTGAACATTTTTAGAAATGTTACATTTTAAGAAAAATATATTCAGACCGATTTTGGTTGTATGAGTAGAATGGTAGGAATTACATACAGAAGCAAAAAAAGAAAAATCGTAACAACCACACAAGTCGGTAATGAAAACTACAAAGTTAAAACAATGGTTAACTACTTGTGTGTGTACATACACACTCATACATACACACACATAATGATGCCTACATATAAATATATATACAAGGACTGTAACAATATACAACAATATAAATGAAACATTAAAAAGACAGGGCTAACCATGCACTGATAGTTAACAAGGGTGCTAATAATAAACAAATTGGGAGTTAGGCAACTTGAATTCCAATTCTGGCAATGACAAGCTCTGGGCAGGTCTTTGAGGCTGTTTGAGGCTGTTTCCTTATATGTAAAATGAAGGTGTCTGTATAGATTCATAGTTTGCAAATCTGGCTGGCCATCAGAATCATATGGGAAATTTTTAAAAAACATATATACATATGTAAGCTGGGCTCCTCTCTCCAGACTTTCTGCATCAATCTCTGGGGTAAAGTCTGTTTTAAAATATTCCCCGGAATAAATCTTATGAACATGCCGATGGAGAATTTTTCTTTAAACAAAATTTTATGCAGAATCCCGACACAGAACACAGGGAAAGGCAGGGCAGCTTGGATGGGACGCAGGCTGAGCCTGTTTCCCCAGCCCTGCTTGCTGACTGAAGGCCCATGGAGGCTCCTGACTCAGTTCTGCCGGCCACAGTGTGCAAAATGGCCTACAGCAGAGGATCGCTAACATGTCTCCCAGCTCTAGGACCTGGGTCTGGGGTGCCTGAGCAGCAAAGTATTTCTTTGAGAGTGTAAACCATCATAATTCTTAGGCAAATCACCAACTTCTAAGTCTCCATTTCCTCATCCTATGGTGTGGACCAAAAATTCGAATCTCTAGGGATAGATATCTAAGCAAAGCACCCTGGAGAGCCTAGTCCAGGGCTTGAGCATCATAAGTATTCAGTAAAATGAGGGTCTTTCTTCCTCATCTCTCCCTCCTGCTCACTTTCCAATTAAAAAAAAAAAAAGGAAAAAAATATAAGTTACAAATGAGGT